AAATAAATAATCGAATTATTATTGTGCGGCCTTGTTCCAAGGATCCATTATGTTATGGCGTCACGTTAGACCACTTCAATCGTTCAGCTCCCCAAAGAATATCAGGATGCAGACAAAGGAATTCTAACTATTACACAGATACCACATCGGTTCGTGGTAATGACTGCCAATTCTGAAAGCACTTGAGCAAAACTATATCACAATATGAAGTCCGGAGAGTTTATCCACAACTTTGAGCAAATACTCAACTCCTTATCCGAAAATTGTAAAAATGCAATAAAACAATATTAAATAGACAGTTTTTGTAGGTACTTTTAATCAAACTTGTTTGGATGAATACTTGGTGACTTATATATATATATATGTTGTGGTACGATACACCTAATTTACATAAGTGAAGTACCGACCATATAAATATGGGTTGGTACCGGAAGACGCGGAAAGGAAGTATTAAGAGATCCGAATCCAGAGACTCTGCCCGACTGCGATTTAGTCAACCCATTCTGCAGGAACAGTCTTCCCAAGAATTTACCAAAACTAACTGTAAATATTGTGTACCTTTTCCTTGTTTCAATACATTTTGTTTACGTACATTTTGTGTTGTATTATCATTATTCCATGCTTATCCAAGTTTCAACATAATATATATATATATATATATATATATATATATATATATATATATATATATATTGTAGTTATCGAGAAAGCGTCCTCTAGGGAGTTGATTCCACAATACAGCTCTTCGTGGGACGAAGATGTTTACCCATATATATTAATATAAATTAATAACTTTTTTAAAGATAAAAATACTCGACCAACCACTAGTCGAGCGAAAAAAAAAACACTTCGTCTCTGCCATCGGACTAGGGTTGCAACTCCACGGGGCGTGCTTCCGATGAGTAGAGAGTTCAAGATCTGTAAATATTTTAAAAACTAAAAAACTGTTGTGTAGTTACTGTTTTGTAGGTCAACTGTAGTTTTGTAGCTGGATTTAAGAACTAACGACTTACAATTACTTCTAAATATACAGGAGTAACCACTGAAAGACTGAATGACATAAAACAAAAGTAACTTTTTTTCAAACACATGTATCGTAATTTAAGACCTAACGACTTACAATTATTTTTAAATAATCATGGTGGCGACTGAAATGACATAAAAAATTACTTTTACAAATACATGAGTATCTTGGGGTCGTAAAGTTTGGACCGTTTGAATCTTGAATCAAAAATCCAGTTTCAGAATCTTCTGAAGCGATGTTCTGGCAATGGCTAGTTGAGCAGAGCGACGACAGGTAGAAGCTGGTGGATCCTCAAAGACACTCTGCTGTACAGCTTCCACCGCTGCGTCAGTGAGCACAGTGCGCTTAAGACCTTATCCCGAAAGATCGCCGACTGATCCAGCACTTTCAGTCTGGGCGATTAGGTCATGTTATCGCTAGGGTATACTCTGACATTAAAATGTTGCCTGTATTTCAACTGAGTATGAATAATTGATCTTTCATTGGAATAGAAAAAGAATAAGTTTTACTCGTCGCTGGGTATCATACGTAGTCATTTTAATCTACAAAAGATACTTTATAACCTGCTTTACATAAATAAATAAGATTGAAAACACACAAGTTATGACGTTTTTTAAATCCTTCAGTTTTTCACTGGCCACTATATATAACAAAGGGAATATACTACCGAGTCACATGGGGAAAAGAGAACTCACTTCTATATTTAATTGCAGAGATTTAATATTTCTAAATAAATTTCCGGTGAATCGTAGCCGGCCACAAGTAAAAGTCCCTGATCTATCTTACCGCATACATAGAGTCACCTTCTTTGAATAAAGGCAGGCCTTTCTTTTTCCTTAACCTGTGTGGAAGGTACACATCAAAGAGAATAACATAAACAAATCCGCGCAAATGACTTCCAACGTTTGATCTGAATACGTTGTCTAACACTTGCGTTGGCTATTTTCAAATATTTTCTTGATTAGATCGCTGTCAATCTCACATGATGTCTCCGATTTAGCTGATAAGAACAGATATTACACTTTGATGTTGCTGATATTTCCTCTGAGTATGAATAATTGATCTTTCATTGGAATAGAAAAGTTTTACTCGTGGCTGGACATCATGCGTAGCTATTTTAATCTACAATAGATGTTCTATAATCTAAAAAAAGGAAAGAAAAAGATTGAAAAGAAACAAGGTATGACTTTTTCAAAATCTTCAGTTTTTCAGTAGCCATCCTATATAAAGACTTCTAAAATTATAAAGATGGCCAACATCCGGTTTGTTATGGTGTACCTTAATGACAGGTTTTTAACTTTCTGGGAAACGACATCCAAGAAATGGCTTGTAAATTTTAACACCTCCAAAACAAAACTGCTTTCATTTAATTACACGACACAGTGGCTAAAGATAAAGGCGTTAGTTAGATCCAGTGACAGGACCCAAAGAGTGTGAGTTCAATACCCGGGTAAGGCGGTGGAGAACTTGGAGAGGGGAATTAACAGGAGATAACTGATAACTGACATCCATTAAACATGGCACGTGGAACTAGAACAGTCTACACCAGTTAACGAAATAAAGGGTTCAGTTCGACATTTCAACCACCTGAAGAAGGTCGGAGCGTACAACGGCCGAAACGTTGTAATAAATATAGCTACAAAGATAAGAACAATAGTCCGAATAATGTAAATAGTGTACATATTACCTCATCTCAGAAATATAGACAGATACTGAAAGGCCGAAACGTTGTAATAAATATGGCAACAAAGATGAGGACAATAGTCCGAATAATGTAAATAGTGTACATATTACCTCATCTCAGAAATATAGACAGATACTGAAAGGCCGAAACGTTGTAATAAATATGGCAACAAAGATGAGGACAATAGTCCGAATAATGTAAATAGTGTACATATTACCTCATCTCAGAAATATAGACAGATACTGAAAGGCCGAAACGTTGTAATAAATATGGCAACAAAGATGAGGACAATAGTCCGAATAATGTAAATAGTGTACATAATACCTCATCTCAGAATTATAGACAGATACAAAATTTTTTCTGCCTGCCTATGACTAAAGCTAACCTCCAGGAGAGAAACTCTTGGAATCTTCTTGGACTCAATATTTCCTCTGACATGAAGTGGAGTGATTATGCTGAATCATTCGCGAGGAATATTGGTTCACTGTGTCATGACTGATAATTCTTCTGACCAGAATCCATCTTACCGATTTATAAATCTTCCATTCGTCCAGTCATTGAATATTGCTGCTATGTAATCGTCCTGGACTGGCATTTCGATGTCAGTCACTTTCTAAGCGGTGTGACATAGCTTCTACTGTCTTTTTCCATAAGTGTCCTGATGATCTTTCCTCTTTGACGCCTCGACAGTATGAATACAAGCGTGTTACTAGAGTGGCAATTAGGTCTCACCCTTTTTCTGTTTAACTCGCTAGATGCAAACGTATGTTCTATGCTAAGTTTCTTCTCCCGCACATTTCGCCTACGGAACACTCTTCGAATTCCTTTCTTCCCTGTCACCTAAAATCTTCAATTAAATGCTATGCCAATCGCCATCTTCTGTCTTCCTACTCTTCCATTGTTCTTTCTCCTCACTGAAGTCTTCTCATTCTCATTCACTGCCAGTAACCCCTTGCGTCTTACTGGCATTATCGCCATCTTCCGTCTTCCTGAAACCTGTTCTTTTATTGTCCTTCCTCCTCACTAAAGTTTTCGAACTCTCTTCTGTTCCCAATACCCCCCCACTTGTGTCTTAGTAGCTTTATCGCTTTTATTGGGGGTGAAATGATTAAAAAATTGTAATCCATTTTTTATTTCATCTATAGTACAGTTGATAATATTGAAGCTATTATTATTATTATTATTATTATGTTCTTAGATCTCTGCTGTATTCACGTTTTTTCCGGGTCCCAACCAGAGACGTAAGGTCAGAAATGGCTTCATGACATTTTCCACTGATCATATTTTATAAAAAATAAAAACAAATAAGAAGCTACATTTTACACAGATAAAGCTCTTCATAATGTGTGAGCTGTACTTGTGCGTACAATTTTACGTATTTCTTTTAGCCGTTGGGCTACTAGGAATCCCTTCAATGAGTCTATCAGACCTTTTTCCAATCAATCCGATTGCTCCAACTACAACTGGAATTATTAATGTCCTCGCGTGCCTCATTTCTGAGGTTTCCGTTTCAAGATCCTTACAATCTGCAGAGATTGTGATGTCAATAAGAAAGCACATCCTGGTCTTGCGATCTTTGATCCCGATGTCTGGTCGATTAACTTTTATTTTTCTGTGTGTCATTATTATTATTATTATTATTATTATTATTATTATTATTTATTATTATTATTTATTATTATTTATTATTATTATTATTATTATTATTATTATTTATTATTATTATTATTATTACACGTGTTTAAGATAGATGCTTATGTTTTCGAGAAACGCACTTGTATTTTTCCTTCTAATTCATTCATTGATATATATATATATATATATATATATATATATATATATATATATATATATATATATATATATATCTGTGTGTTCGTGTGGGGGATCTGTGGCAAGTGTGTATATGTTAATGTGTATATGTTTGTGTCTGCGTGTATATATCTAAATTCTGTGTGTGTGTATCTGTGTGTGTACGTGTCTGTAAGTGTCTATACGTCTGTGCGCGCGTGTGTAGATAGACGCCTTTGTACTCTAATTGGTCATAAATATCATCCAATGGCAGCTTGACACGTTTCAGCCGCTTTCTATCTTAAATATGGTGGACGATGAAACGCTGTTTTTATCAAAACGCTAATTCAACCCTCGGGTCCACTTACCTACATATCTACCATCTACTTCCCTATCTGACCTAACGGGCTGGTATTGAAAACAAAACACTGCCAACCCACCCATACCCTTAAATATACCTGTTCTACCCGGCTAGTGTGTGACAGGTGTCAGAGTTGTCACCAAACCCTTCTGCCCGATACCTTTCCAACTGCAAGCCGTGCCTGCCCAGAATGCACCGCCACCCTGTCTTGGCATTTGTCGGGTGTCTAAGAGGGCGGGAAGATAATGGGTTGAAGGAAGAAAGCACGCCTGTTGTATGGTTCCCTTGTCTATGTGTGTGTCTGTCGGACAGGAAGACGGCAAAAGAGACATACAGACAGACAGGTAGACAAGGATGGGGTGATCATTCATTCATAAACTCATGACTCCTCTTCTATTTCTTCTTCATCGTCGTCACACCTGACAATGTCGGTTTCTTCACCCTCTTCTTTTTCTTCTTCACGCCTATCTTCTTCTTCTTCTTCTTCTTCTTCTTCTTCTTCTTCTTCTTCTTCTTCACACCTGACAATGTTGGCTTCAAATACGATTTTTCACCTAAGCCACATCTTGGGCAATATTTCTCGTTCTTCTCCCCGGTCGGTCCAAAACTGATCGACGTTAAAGTGTCGACGGACAACACCTGGATGATTTTTGACACTTTTATGTATTCTGCTTATATATATATATATATATATATATATATATATATATATATATATATATATATACCTCGCTCCTTCTCACTTTGCTTTCCTAACGTTCTCCTTCCGCTTGCCTTTATCTACCTTTCCATCATGTCTTTATTTCTTTCACGTCCCACAGACATATTTTCACTTTCTTTTCTTTTTTTTACCTGAATTGTCGTGTGCTATTCGAATCAAGGTGTGTTTTTGTTTTTGAATAATTTTGGTCATTTTTTTTTTGACAGGGCGTCATGCAAAGTGCTGTTTGACGCTTTCGTCAACATGACAGCATTCTTGCTCGCTGTTTTTTTTTTTTTTTTCCTCTCCACCTTTTCGTCAGCATTATTGCATTCTTTATTTAAACATCCAATCACACACACACACATATATATATATATATATATATATATATATATATATATATATATATATATATATATATATATATATATATATAGTTATAGTTAAATTCCCAGATCAATTCTGTGGACAAGACAAATTGGTATAAGATGACAATTGGTAAAAAAATCTTATTTTTGCCGACGCGTTTCGTCTTCTGACTTTTTCAATGAAATCGAAATATTTTTTTTTTTTATAGTTACATTACAAAATCCATATTTAAAAGAAAGGCGTTTCTGCGTAAGACTCTTTTTAATTATTGTAAAATTCCTTAATATTAAGAGATTTTTTTTTTATTTCTTTCCATATCAACAATATAGTTAAATTCCCAGATCCATTATATCTATCTCTGTGTGTGTGTGTGTGTGTGGAGAGAGAGAGAGAGAGAGAGGCAGAGCACAGATATTCATGTGTCAGTCCCCCAAAATAAATACTTTTATATATTCTTACTTAGATACCATGCTTAATACACGCTTGAGAAATCAACGACTCTTTTCGAATCATGCAGAAGAATTTCCAGAGAAGGTGCGCAGAAATTTTCTTCAATAGAAACTGGTTGCCAACCAAGGCTATAGGATCCAATGTGTCCTGATATTTAGCCAATTACAGGTGGAAGCAGAGACATATTTATACCTTTCCCAAGGGCATTTGTGCGTAACAAACTCGACTCTTCAATTTGCCAGTCGGGGCCGTTATTTATTATACCCTCACCACAAACTTATAACACTTGATATTTCTAAGCAGTTACCCTTCTAGATACTGACCAGGCTTAACTTCTGTGGGTTAACGTGAAAAAAACCGTAAGATTCTTGTCTATATAATATATATACTTGGTAATCTTCGTTCCTACAGAAAACTGTGTGAAAAAGGAGGGTTATCCCTTGAAAATCTACTATATTAACTACCTTCACTCCACGGAAGAATTTATTGTTTTTAAGAGTGGTGATTAGAATAGTAGTAAAGCCTAAACATATGATGAAAATAAATAAAAACAGTTTTTTTTTGTTCTTGAGAATTTCCGACATAATATTAAACACTATTAGATTGTTTATTTACAAGAATAATTTAGAACATTCTAAAAATTAATACAGTTAGAACGAATACAATATGATATTTATTATTTACCAACTTGTAAAAAAATTAAAAATGGATACAATTTCTTATTCGTAAATTTATAAAAGATTGACAAAATTATTAAAATATGTGAACCAACTATAAGGAAATCTTTATTATTTACCATTTTATAAAGTTTGAATCGATTGGCAAAAAGCCATGTTTTGCAAACCATTCCAATAAACAATATAATAAATAGTGTAAATAAACAATCTAATAAATAAATAATGTTTATTATTTTTGTTGTTAATTCTCAAGAACACAGGAAATATATAAATTCATTTTCATATGTTTTGCTTTTTAAAACAATAAACATTGACGATGACTGAAGGTAGTTTAGCGGTATCTAGGAAAAAACGTCTTTTTGACATACCGATTTTTTTTTGTTTAGTTTTTTTTCTTTTCGGACGCAAAGGTTAAAGATTGTCTATCCTATTATATATACCGACGTCAAAAGACATATAAACTCTAATGAGAACAGTATTAGAATATGTTTCTTTGGTTTCGCTTTCAAATGTTTAATACGTGAACCGACTTGATACTTCTTTATATATACAGTAGAATCCCTCATATCCGGATTGCCTCATATCCGGAATCCCGCATATCCGGACATGATTTTGAGCTATTTGGGTGATATGCAGCTGATTTGAAATTTATGTTTTTCAGGAAATTTACTTTGGATAATTGCTTATGCTTATTTCACCCTAATGGCTTGTATTGGTGAAAAAGCTAATGGGAGCAAGAGGAAAGGATGACAAGGAGACACATCTGCAACAAGATAGCGACGAGATGCATGATTAAGATGAAACCTGGGCTGAAATTGAAAAAGCTATTGAAAAGGTTGTCAGTTTTATGGAAAGAAAGCCAGCATTCAGCTATGATTACTGCTATAACGCACGCGTTAAAAAGTGTCTTTCGTTTAAAAAATTTCAAGAACAAAAGCAAAATGAAATGCGGAAAAAGTTGAGAATGATATTAGAAGAGAAAGAATCATCATGCAACAGCGATTAAAAAAAATCCTCGTTACATTATTTGTTTTGCATACGTGGCATACTTAATTTAATGAATTTTCAATAACATTACATAATTTATTTCTTTTTTCCTTAAAATCAATTCCATTTCTATAAAATAACATGACTAAACGCAAAACAAATCAAATAATGATGTCTACAATATGGAAGATTTTCCATGGCACCATTTTGGAAAATTCTCATGATAGAAAAGGCAACAACGGAAGCTGAACGCGCATTGGAACAACAAAACAGATGCCTTCCAAAAATTAAGCAAAGTAAAAATAAACAGGAAAATCTCGTTAGAAACAAAGAAAAGTGTGCTGAACTGTTCTATATCAATCCTATTATATGGCAATAAATGCCGATGAAGATAAAACTGATTGTTTGATTGGTTGATTAAACATAAAACTGGAGGTTTGATTATTTGATTTAAGATAAAACCGATGGTTTAATTGGTTGATTAAAGATAAAACTGGAGGTTTGATTGGCTGATTTAAGATAAAACTGAAGGTTTGATTGGTTGATTAAACATAAAACTGGAGGTTTGATTGGTTGATTTAAGATAAAACCGATGGTTTGATTGGTTGATTAAAGATAAAACTGGTGGTTTGATTGGTTGATTAAAGACAAAACTGGAGGTTTGATTGGCTGATTTAAGATAAAACTGAAGGTTTGATTGGTTGATTAAACATAAAACTGGAGGTTTGATTGGTTGATTAAAGATAAAACTGATGATTTGATCGGTTGATTTAAGAGAAAACTGATAGTTTAATTGGTTGATTTAAGAAAAAAATGGAAGTTTGATTGGATGTTTTTGTATTTTATAGTTTATTAACCTTTTGCAAGTTATTTAAACTCAGAAAATGTTTTTAGATTTAAAAATGTTTTGGAGATAGTAATGATTTACTGATAAAAGTCCTACTAGTTAACCCAAAGCTGGAGAGAAAAGTGTGAATTCAAGCCTTTCCATCGATGAGAAGTAAGTTCTACTTGAACAGCATCTTCCCGTGAACCACTGACCTGTGGAACCGACTCCCAACAGGATGTTTCCCCGATAGCTACAATCTTAACCTGTTCATGGCCAGGGTTAACAGTTATCTTCCACTCTAATACACACGTAATCCAAACGTAATCCTCTACCTCGAGTGACTCCGGGCCTTATAAAGGATGAACCTCACTGTAAAAAAAAAAAAAAAAAAAAAAAAAAGATAGCAGTTTCATTTGGTATTTCCGAGCTGTACTAAAAGGTTCGATACCGGCTTTACCCCAAGAAGAAGCCTTGGTGGTAACATTTTCAAGGGGAAGCTTTAAAATTTCACAATAAGGGGAGTGGCAAAAGAAATCGCGAAATGAGTCCCAATCAGTGCGTCGGTAACGAAAATACGTTCTGTTGATGAGAGGTGTTCGCCTAATTGATGTGCGCAAAGAAAAATCTACAGACACTACTGCCTGCGTAGTCAGAGTTGACAAGAGGCCAGAGTTGCCGGGCGCGCCGGGAGACAGAGAGGAGGTAAGGAAAAGGCGTCAGCTGAAATTGTTTGTCTCCTTAATGAGGAAGGAGGGTTTGGAGATTTTGACACTTACAGGGCACGTCGAATGTAAAAGGGACGTCGGAAGACAACCGGCAAAAAAGGAGACACTTTCGTTCAGAATCAGAAAGGGACAATTCCATATAGATGAAGAGGAGACTTGAAGCAACCGATATGTGGTTCTACAGAAGGATGCTGAGAATACCATATGAGCAATGACGAAGAAAATGTACACACAAAGGAAACTTATTCTTAACATCAAGAAGAGACAGTTGACATTTGTAAGACACATAATGTGGAAAGAGGGCTTGGTAAATTTGATACTCACAGGAGAAATTGAAAGCAAGAAGTGCAGAGGAAAAGAACGCATAACATACATAAGGAGCATGAGTAAATGCAAGGTAGATCAAGGCGTGATAACAAAAAGAAAAAATATTAAGAACTATAAAAGACAGGAAGTTGTGGAGAGCCATGATCGTCTGCATCTTGAATGGACATGGTACATAGAAGAAGAATGAGCTTGAGGAAATTGATGTCGAAACCGAGTTTAGGAGAGATAACAAAAAGACAAAATTTAAGAGCTACAAAGGGGAGGAAATTGTGGAGAACCATGATCGCCATTGTCTTGACGAGAA